TGTTGCTTGGAGGACATGGGACTGGGTGGGAGTGCCTTGGTGGTCATGTGACTGGGTGGGCATGGCCAATTTAGCCTTCTATTTTGCCAATTTAGCAGTCCATTAAACAATACACAGCAGCCCCCTTAACTATCCTTTTTAATACTGCATAAAGTTTTTGCTCTATTTTTTTTTTTACTAGGGGGAAGAGGTTGGCAATGCCTGGGGATTTCTGAGAATTTCTCCTTTGTGTTGGAAGCACTAAAATAACCAAAATGATATAAGGTCTCCTGCTGGAGCAGGGGGTTAGATTAGATGACCTCTGAGGTTCCTTTCATCCCTGGATTTTTGTGCTGTTTCAAAGCATGATCTGAAGCTGTGTCTAGTGCCAGGTTTTTAGTCTTTCTTTTTTCTCCTTTTTCTCTCCCTCGTTCCCTCCCTCTATCCATCCATCCATATCTCATTCACTTTCCCTTCCCTTTTTCTCCCTTCCCTCCCTCTCTCTCCTTCTTTCCTTCTTTCCTCCCTTCCTGTGAAGAACCCCAGGTGGTCTTTAGTAGGAGGAAGAAAAGCCAGACATTTTGAAATTGAGAACATGTCCATTGATCATCTGGCATTCTTAGAGCTCCATTACTGATTAGCTTAGTCTGAGCCTAAGAATAGCAGCTAGCGGAAGTGTTCAAACTTGTCAACTTTAAGACTTGTGGACTACAACTCCCAGAATTTTCCAGCCAGCAGAGCTGTATTCTGGAAGTTGAAGTCCACAAGTCTTAAGTTGACACGTTTGAAGACCTCTCTGCTCCATGCACTTGGGGATCCTCAAATGGTGAGGATTTCTTTCTTTCTTTCTTGAAGCTCCCCCCGCCCCGCTTTTGCTCCCAGGGGGCTGCAGGTAGGCTTGCTAGCCTCCCCCCCCCCTGCTCTATTTTGGGCCTAGCAGGCCTGCCTGAAGCCTGCTGGGAGCCAAAATGGGCATGGGCCTCTGCACACACACACATCCCCCCCAGCGCTCTATTTTTGGCCTAGCAGGCCTGCTTGAGGCCTGCTACAGCATGCCAAAATGGCCATGGGCCTCTGCACACACACACACACATCCCAATGCTCTACTTTGGGCCTAGCATGAATGCTTGAAGCCTGCTGGGAGGCATAATGAGGCTCATGGGGATTCTTGAAAGGGCCGGGAGAAGGGAAGGTTATGAGCCCAGTGGGGACGGTGGGAGGGGGCAGCAAGCTCGGGAGGGGGTGTTAGCGAGATTTACCTATAGGCAGAAGGAGGAGGCAGCTCAGTTGGGGCGCAGGGCAGGTATTATGTGGCAGCTTATGCAGGCAAGGCAGCTTAGGCAGGGAAGCCACTTGGGAAGTAAGGAAGATTTTTGGTGCCAGGCAGCTTCAGGGAGGCTTGCTAGGCCAAAAAAGTGACATGGGAGGCACCACACACACCCATTCTCTGCACATGCATGTGTGACCCCCCCACATGTGTGTGCATGCATGGCAGGGACCCAAAAATCAGCTTGCCGGCGGTAGGTGCATGTGCATGCATGGTGGAGCTGAGCTGGGTGACAGCTCAGCTCCACTGTGCCCGCAGAGAAGGCTCCATGTGCCACAGGTGGCACACATGCCATAGGTTTGCCATCACAGCGCTACAATTAAGGAATCTGAAAATAGATGAGAAAACAAGAATGCAATATAAAAAAGGAAGTAACTATTCTTATACGTTATCATCTATTCTTCAAGAGCATTTGAAACACTTGAAATGCCTAGTGTTAATGATATCTACTTCTATTATCTATTTGTGTCAAGATAACTGAACAGAAAGAGTCATTTACCTTCAGAGAACAGAATTTTTAACAGCTGAAATTGTCAAAGAAAATTTATTTTGCAAGGTTAAGTATTTTACTCACGCTTTTCTTAATTCTGTTTCAACAGAATGCTAGATTCCCCATCCCATCCTTGTTTTCCTATTATAAATTCTGTAGGTGAAAGAGGAAGGAGTTAAAGTTCCACATCTTTGCTCTATGTTTGAAGATATGAAGCCACCAGAGGCTTACTATGTTGCATAATTAAAACAACATTTCAGTTTCAGAAAAGGAGAAAGCAAGTGTGGTCACTGCATTTGGTTATTTAATGTACTGTAAATCTGGGTTTCCTGATATATTTGTTTACACTTAAAATCAGTTGTATCGGAAGATTAATGTTTAATTCAGGATATATTTTCCTATTGAGATACAGTAAAGAAGCTACTGGGGCTTAGAACAGAAAAACAACATAGCTTTCACAATACTTCAGGAACATAGAAGCATACAAAATTGTCAAAAATGATCACAAATTTAACAGATCATATGTTAGATTACTGTAATTTGTTCTATATGGGGCTACTTCTGAAAAAAACTGGGAGCTACAGCTGGTAAAAGATACAGTTGTGAAAATGATGACAGGTTAGAATCAGCATAATAGAACAAGATTGATGCTATGGGACTACACTGACTATCACGTGGCCTCTAGGTCCAATTTAACATGAGTTAATCTAAATAACCTTAAAAATTTCAGGGCCTTTGTGACCTTGAAAACAATTGATCCAGGTAGAATCTGCCTGATCCTTTGCCCTAGTAGTGGAGACGTTGAAAGTCTGCCACCCCTGCAAAGTGAGAAGCTGGGAGGGAGGGAGATTGAAAACAAGACTTCTTAATTTATTTACTCAGGCATACGCTATCCAAATTTAGGAGTCCTTCTCCCTTGCACAGTGAAGAACATTTTCACCCCACCCTTGAGGCTTCATAGTAGAAACACTCCTTAATCAAAGGCAACTGTTCATGGACATGTAGATGAGTCACACATATTTTGACATCACTATGGTTAGGAACAGATGTCTGTGGTGACAGGTGATAAGGGTAAATGTGCAGCATATTGAATAATTTTTGTTTGTTATGACTTGTTTTTTTATTATTTGGAAAATATGTTACCTAGGTTCTGTGGAGTGTATGACATTGTGTGTGTGTGTGTGTTATATATAACATATTACATATATCAATTCAAAAGCATAAGTGCCATTTGAAATATTTGCTAAAGCTACTGCATTTAAAAGCTATGGGAGGGGGGAATTTTTCAAGTTAACTTCTGAGAATCTTTACATGTAGCCGGTGGCCTGTGATACTTCAATTCTTTCATATTAAATAAAATATTAAAAACACAATAGCTGCCAAGGACCAATTACTGCTATCTGCCCCTAATATCTAAACAGAATTTTAAACAGAATTTTTTTTAACATGACAGGATACATATTAATACATATTGTGTAATTTTTTACTGTTTCTTAAGCAGTATTAGTATTTAATTTGATAGCTAACCACTAGGCAGTAGATGAAATTTGAAAAACTGATACCGTACACAAATTTGCAATATTAGGCCTGATCTCAGCCTCTGATAAATAGCTCACTAAAATGATTCACACAGATATTTCTTAGCAACCACTACCACTCCTCCAGCAGCATTTCTAGAGACAAGACAAACAAACAAGAAAACAAATCCCAAGAAAATGAGGGTGGCAGTTTTGAGCCAGAACTAATGCAAATGCAAAAGCAAATTGCTCCCTTTGGAAGCAAACAAAACTGTCCATTGTTAACAAAAAGGAATGAAGATCAAGAATTGTTGAGAACCAGGTGAAAATGAACTGCATAGTTTTTGACTGAAACATCTGACTAGCCTATACCCACTAATTGCCAAGTAGTTTAGCAACATAAGAAGGTAAAATTGAAAGTTAACATCTGGTAAACCCTACCTGATAATGAAAGATTCGACAACATCAGGCATCTACGGGCGAAAGCCTGCTTGAACAACTTTCAAACTTCTAAATTATGTGACTATATAGGACTTTGTTACACTGTTTAAATATATAAATTTGAATATTGAGGCAAATACCTCATCCAACTGGAAAAAAGATGTCACAATCTGAGGAAACTAAATGTCACTTTGTAGACATGCCATCCTAAGGATTTGGAACAAATATAAAACATAATAAAATATAAAATGTAATGGTCTTATTTTTAAAGGGTCCTTGACATATGAAGTTGATATAACTCTAAAATATGCATTCAAGAAAATATCGAGTTTGACCTTGTATTTTACATAGTCTGGCAATGTTTTCAATTCATATTTGTTTGATAGACTAAATAAAGGTAGGTGTCATGTGATATATGGATTCAAATGAGGTTAAGTATGAAACAAGTAAATCATAGCTATTAGAGTATTTAACCTCTAGGAAAATATGCTTAATACGAAGAAATCTGACAAATCTAAAAGTGTTCTCATGGCAGCTTTACTAACATACAATTTATAATGAATCAGGGAGAAACATCTTTTTAAAACCCCTTTAAATATATTTTTGTCCTTGAAAGCATAAGACCAAGTAGGAAACTATCTAGCATAAAATATGTAAATTCATGGGAAGAGATTTTAAGGGAACCTAGTATGATCCTGGTAAGCAAAAGCAAAAATAATACAAGCAAATAAAATCTTCTCTATTGTTTTAGATCATAACATTAAGCATAAAATCATCTCTTATTTTTGTGATACTAGGATAAAATATTAATAATTTGATAAATATTAATGATTTAATTTAACAATGGCTACTGCATCACACTTTCTATTTTTCAAACAAATGGATTCCATTCACAACCGTTCCATTCCATTCCATTATCGCGCCCCATCTTCGTCCGAAGAGCTGCTATTTGACAGACCAAGTAAAAAAACAAAGCCTAACAATCTCCAACTGCTATTGCCTGCTTTATTGACGTTATGGTTGGTTTTTTTTGACGCAACACTCTTGTCTCTTCATTGGTCGTGGAGTTGCGGGGCGGAGTCACTCCGCTTGCAGAGCCGATGCAACAACCAGGCGTCCAGTCCGAAGGATAGATCGACCCCGCCTCCCTCCCAGAGATAGGGTCACGTGTCTCAGTGTTTACATCCTCTCAGCTGTTTGGCTTCTCCCCTCCCCCCTCCCCCTCCTCCTTCCTGGCGTCGTTCAGGCCAACACAAACAGTCAGGATCAGCGGCCGCGGCCGGCGGGACGAGGCTGACGGCGGGGAGAATCTTCTTTCACATCCCCATCCCCCATGACACACAGACGTATATATATATATACGCATTCAGTAGGCAACGTCTTCTCTGACTCGGAGCCCGAGACACCTCTTTCTGTTTCAGTTTCTTAAACTGATTGGTTTCCGCTCTGATACCCTCTTAAAGCTTCAGTCCCCTTCGGGACGTAGAGGACGTGTGGAAGGTGAGTCAGATTTGGGGGGGGGGGGTGAGACGCTGACAGAAAAAGGGCAAGCAGTGGCCGCGCGAGGCGGCCTTGAGAGCTCCAAACGACCTACTGGCTGGCGAGGTTAGTTCTCTAAAGGCCGTTGAAAGCTACGGGGAAACCCCTTTTTCCGCCCTCGGAGCCCCCGGTGCTTCCTCACCCCCCCCCCAAATCTGACTCACCTTCCACACGTCCTCTACGTCCCGAAGGGGACTGAAGCTTTAAGAGGGTATCAGAGCGGAAACCAATCAGTTTAAGAAACTGAAACAGAAAGAGGTGTCTCGGGCTCCGAGTCAGAGAAGACGTTGCCTACTGAATGCGTATATATATATATACG